GGAACCCAATGGGTCGCTTTGTTGGCTGAGACCAGGAACCCAATGGGTCGCTTTGTTGACTGAGGCCAGGAACCCAATGGGTCGCTTTGTTGGTTGAGGCACTGAATGCAATGGGTCGCTTTGTTGACTGAGGCCAGGAACCCAATGGGTCGCTTTGTTGGCTGAGGCCTGGAACCCAATGGGTCGCTTTGTTGGCTGAGACCAGGAACCCAATGGGTCGCTTTGTTGGCTGAGACCAGGAACCCAATGGGTCGCTTTGTTGGCTGAGGCCAGGAACCCAATGGGTCGCTTTGTTGGCTGAGACCAGGAACCCAATGGGTCGCTTTGTTGACTGAGGCCAGGAACCCAATGGGTCGCTTTGTTGGTTGAGGCACTGAATGCAATGGGTCGCTTTGTTGACTGAGGCCAGGAACCCAAAAGGCCTGTTTGAAGATGAGCAGCAGGGCCTACTGACGTAAAGAACACACCCCCCCGTACACTATTGAAGGGATTTTGTTTCCTGAATATCCCCCTTCAGCCAGGGTCAGTTCACAAGGATGACCGAATTTCTTTCGCGTTGGAGTCGATCGATCGTAGTCTTTGTCCCTCCCTACTAATAGTACTAAACCCATAAAAGCAGGTGGACACATTTGAAGAGGGTTGTTGGGTGGATGGGGGGGGGGGGACTTCCATGGTTATAAAATGTCTTTTTTTTTTCCAAAGTGCTTTACCACTAGAATTTCCCAACTCTGCTTTACAATGTGGACTATTCCAATAAAACATGAACCCACTTTGAAAACAATAAGTAGGTACTCTAAATGAAAAGTTCATCATGAAATAAAATAAAATTAAACTATCACCTTAAAATAGAACCACACATTTGTTTGCTCGACTCTATTAAACAAAAAAAATTCCCAGCGGCTCATTTAGAATACCTACAACTACAATAAGATGTGCAAACTTATCGTTGGCGTCGTCCATCTCGTGATGTAGACAACGCTGTTTTAAATTAAAATATATGACTTTTGGGACGATGACTTGAACTCTGGACTTTGTCAGCAGAAATTTCACAACTTTTCCCTGCTTCTACCTTGGGATCTCTTTGAAAAAAATAAATTACGCTCAGGTCCTTCTTCCGACCGCTTAGGATTTGATCTGCGCTGCCATACACCGCTCCTGCGCTGCTGGTGTTGTACTTGAACGGTAGGGATGGCTCTGACACGGAAGTCACATGTTCATGCGCAGAGCAATGTCCTTTAATTAGATTGTCATTGAATGCCAAGTCCCGGGGTTCAACCCCACGGGGGGTGTTAAACTGTTGATGTGTAATGTCCGCCCCAGGATTTACTGTCGACAAGCTCGTTAAGAAATGTTCATCTATGTAGTCGCCGCTGGCATCGGAATCCAGGTTTCGATAGCTCAAGTTTGGTATCAAGCTATCGCTTTTTGGCCTGATCCCCATGAAAAATTTGTCATTCTCAAAGCTCCCCCCGTAAGACAGATCTACATCACCGTGGTCTAAATGTGATGAGCTGATGCTGATTTGTAGAGAATCTCTGGACTCTTGGCATGCTGCTGATGCGTCCAATGTTTCTCTTTTTTCGATAGTCTCTGACGAGTTAAACGTTGAAACTCTCGAAACAAAATGCATGCCCGAACTCTCTACTCCAATAATTCCAGGATGAGGTATTTGTCGGTCGCTGTTGTAAGGATAACTCAAATATTCATTGTCCAATACCCCAACACTTCCACGAGATTTAAATAAGTCCTTTGTGTTTTTAACATCCCCATTTTCTGTATGAATAGTGCTGCTAACATTCCCATTTTCTGTTCGAGTAGTGTTGTCTGAAAATCTCTCGCATGTATCAGTCATCGGTCTGAATGTTAGTCTATCGTACTTGCTGCCACCATCTGCTTTTTCGCTTAACAAAACACTCGACCTATTACTTGTGCCATTGCCCAGTGAGTTTGACGTGTTTATCCACTGGGGTGACGGGAAAGTCGTCAATTTGTGTGGCATTTCTTCATTGATGCTAGGGTTTCTTAATTCATCTTCAGTTGTTAGAACAACATTGTCTGTGTTAAGTAGCTCAACGTTGGCAGGTTCAGTGTCACCTTCCGCTGAAAGAAGAACAGTAAAATTGGATATTTACGGATTCGGGATTTTAAATAAATTTCTTATGATAACTGAATGAGCGAAAACGCATCTTTGTTAGAAACAACTTTATAATAAATATTATTTTAAACAGCGAGACATCATATTTTAAGCATCCAAACATCATATTTTAAATAGTGAGACCTCATATTTTAAATAGTGAGGCGTCATATTTTAAATAGACATAACATTCAAACAGTGAGAGATCACATTTCAAACAGTGAGACATCGCATTTCAAACAGTGAGACATCACAATTCAAACAGTGAGACATCCAATTTCAAATAGTGAGACATCACATTTCAAACAGTGAGACATCCCATTTCAAACAGTGAGACATCACATTTCAAACAGTGAGACATCACATTTCAAACAGTGAGACATCACATTTCAAACAGTAAGACATCACATTCAAACAGTGAGACATCCCATTTCAAACAGTGGGACATCCCATTTCAAACAGTGAGACATCCCATTTCTAACAGTGAGACATCACATTTCAAACAGTGAGACATCACATTTCAAACACTGAGACATCACATTTCAAACCGTGAAACATCACATTTCAAACATTGAGACATCACATTTCAAACAGTGAGACATCACATTTCAAACAGTGAGACGTCACATTTCAAACACTGAGACATCACATTTCAAACACTGAGACATCATATTTCAAACAGTGAGACATCCCATTTCTAGCAGTGAGACATCCCATTTCTAGCATGAGACATCCCATTTCTAGCAGTGAGACATCCCATTTCTAGCAGTAAGACATCCCATTTCTAGCAGTGAGTCATCCCATTTCTAGCAGTGAGACATCCCATTTCAAACAGTGAGACATCCCATTTCTAACAGTGAGACATCACATTTCTAGCAGTGAGACATCCCATTTCTAGCAGTGAGACATCCCATTTCTAGCAGTGAGACATCACATGTCAATTTCCGCCTCTGCTCGTGTTGTGAAGACAACATATCAAATCTATTAATTCGTGTTAAGAATTGGATTCGGCTCATATTATATCACAAGGCATCCAAGTTTATATCCAAAAATTTGTTTGAAAGAAATTTCGTTGACGGAAAATTGAACGGAAGTTTGGTGGAACGGAAGTTTGGTCAATTTTTTTTTGAATGCACATAATTTAATTTTGCGTCAAATTTCTTTTTGAATGCACTATTTTGTTTGACTTTATAGTATAGTGCGTTCAAAAAGAAATTTTGACTAAAATTTGATTGTGTGAA